CCCGAAAATGAAGGCTTCCCCTAAACCCCCAAGCTGTGGTTTAGGGTTTAGGGGTTTAGGGTTTAGGTTTGGGGTTTAGGGTTTATGGAAAGTTCAGGATTTAGGGATCCTATTATGACTATTATGGATCCCTATGATAGTCCCTTAAGGTCCCTCATAGTCGTCCCTATAACCCATTCCCCCCATTCCCTACTAATTACCAGACAGAAAAAATACGATTATTGTTCTTCTCGCCCTAAACCCTAAACCCTAAACCCTAATCCCTAAATAATGCTACTATGACTATTTTGACCCTCAACTGCTGGCCTCGCAGGACTTCATGTCTCCGCTCCTCTGCGAGGAAGAGCTGGCGGCTTCTCCTGAGATTCGGAGCTGGAGGCTTTCGCCTTTAATGGGTCCTTTGCGGGTTTAGGGTTTAGGGCTTAGGGTTTAGGGTGTAGGGTTTAGGGCTTAGGGTTTAGGGTTTAGGGTTTAGGGATTAGGGTTTAGGGTTTAGGGTTTAGGGGTTTAGGGATCCTTTAAGGGATCCTTTAAGGGATCCTTTGAGGGATTCTTTAAGGGGATCCTTTAAGGGGGTGAGGGATCCTTTCAAGGGGGATGGGGTTTAGGGTTTCGTTAGCTAGGCTTTAACGAATCCTTTAAGGGGATGGGTTTAGGGCTTAGTTCGTTAGGAGTCCTTGCAGGGGTCCTTCAAGGGATCCTTTGAAGGAACCCTTTGAGAAACGGGGGCTATAAGGGTTTAGAAATAGAACGAACTGGAGGCGCTTTGGACTTGGGGGTCTAGGCATTTCCGGGTTAGGATTCAGGAGTACCCCAAAAAACTTCGGGGTAGTTAAAGTGACTATCCTGCTTACTACGTAGGGTCTGCATAAGGATCACACTTATCCGTGCCAGGCTGCGGTGCCCCTCCATGTGCTCGGCGAAATCATCGAAGTCCACCAGCCTGTGCCATGGCTCACACAACTCTAAGGTTGAACCCATGGGCCCCTACTATGGACTCTCAGGCCTTTCTAGGGACCCTTAAGGGTACATATAGGGTATATAGTAGGTGTATAAGGGTCCCAGGGTTAAGGGCCCATACTAGGGGCCCATGGGTTCAACCCTAGAACAACATCTGCGCTGCCAAACGTCTGCCCATCGGCCTTCCACAAACCTCACACTCAATTCCCGCGTCGATCTCTGCGTCCGGCCTCATGTGCCAGACACATCGGAGACAGAAGAGACTCAAATCTGTCCCGAGCGCTAGGCTTTAGCACCTTTCGGGTTGAGGGGTTTAGGGGTTTTAGGGTTTAGGGTTTAGGGTTTAGGGTTTAGGGTTTAGGGTTTAGGGTTTTAGGGTGCAGGACACCCCTAAACCCTACACTTTGAAGACCCGTGCCTGCGAAGCTGCTCTGGTGCATCCAAGGCATCACCCTGCAAGGCTCGAATGCACGGGAGAGATTGAGGGTTTGGGGATTTTTAGGGTTTAGGGTTTGGGGTTTAGAGACAGAAAAGCAGAGATGTTCATAGATGCGTGCATACATGCGTATGTATACACCTGCATGTACAGACATCTACACATATGTAGGTATATATATATATATGTATGTGTGAACCTATACAAAAAGGTAAATACATACATGCATACATTCTAGCATGCCGACATACATAGTTACATCCATGCTTACAGGCATGCATACCTAAGTACATAGATACATACATGCATACATACATACATGCATACATGAGTACATGCATACATGCATACATGCATAGCTACATACATGCATACATGCATGCATGCATACATGCATGCGTACAGAAGTACCTGTGTTTGTGTCAGTGTTTGTGTAGAAGCTCAGCCCCGGACGATCGCTGCGCACTCGGAAAATATCACCCATGCACTCACACAGAGTCACAGAATATGATTGTGTGGCATGTATGTAAGTCGTATGACACTCGGTTATACTACGTTAAAGCATTTGCTAGTATGTTGCAAAGGTTCTAAAACCTAGCATTTTGTTATACCACCTTATATGATTTTAGACTATGTTATGACTTATGGTGTTAGACTATGAGTTTTATACTGTATTTCGTTACATCCTGTCAGAATACGTTACAGTTTGCGATTCTATGAATATGTTGTGCATGGTTTGCTAATTTACACTACAGCATGTTATTCCATGCTTTGTTATGTCTTACTATGTCATACTATGCCACAATGTTGTATTATGATATATTGGGAGATACTATGTTATATTGTGTTAGCTTTCGTGGGTAAAGCTGTGCCAGTTTATGTTATACTGTCGTTAACTGTGTTAGATTCTGTTCGAGTACGTTGCATTATTGCTGCCACTCTGCCATATCATGTTATCTTGCATTATATACTGTGTTGTGTTATGTTCGTTTAAGCAACGAAATTGGTATCTCGTACGAAATGTGAATACATTTATACATGTATGCATGCAAAGGAAGAAAAAGCCTGTGCTCATGCGTTCGTCTGGCTCTGTCTTTTTCTAGCTGCGGGTGGCATATATTCACAGGGTCACAAGACAGGCTTGTGCAGGTGATGCCACGCATACAATCCTACATATGCACATACAGAAAGGCCAACTTGCCGACAGACTGCGCAAAAGCTCTGGCAAGACCCTTAAGCGCTTCGTCTTGCTGAGCGCCCAATACCAGACTGCTTGAAACTTCCGCCCTGGCGTTAAACCCTAAACCCTAAACCCTGAACCCTGAACCCTGAACCCTAAACCCTGAACCCTAAACCCTGAACCCTGAACCCTGAACCCTGAACCCTAACTTCCGACCTGCTGGTGAGTGGACATATGCTGCAGGAACGAGTCGAAGGGAACACTTTGGCCACAAATCTCACAAGGCACCTGGGTACGATCTTTTAGGGTTTAGGGTTTAAGGCTCCAACGATAAGAAGCCTTACCAATTCGTCTCAGTTACTGTCTCAACGCAGCGCTCCTTGGCACCAAAACTGATACCCACATCTCTGCCGCACGCAGTCAATAAATGCATCAAGGCTGCGGAAATGATCACAACATCCGGATCTTCCTGAACCATCGAAGACCCGACAACAGAAACTCACCTAAACCCTAAACCCCTAAACCCTAAACCCTAAACCCAAAGCTCACAAGCAACGCATGGCCGCAATCCTGGCGACGACGCTTTCGCTGCGGTGTCGGTGCTTCCGTCGCACCAGGGCGTCGCCTACAAAAAAGCGTTTTTCTAGGCTGCTTTAAAGGTTCAGGGTTTAGGGTTTAGGGTTTAGGGGTTTTGGGGTTTTGAGGTTTTGGGTTTAGGGTTTTTGGGGTTTTGGGGTTTTGGGGTTTTGGGTCTAGGGTCTATAGGGTTTACGGGTTTAGGGGTGTGGGGTGTTAGGGTTTAGGGGTTTAGGGTTTAGGGCTCAGCTCCAGGGATTTAGGAGAAAACATAATGTAGGGGCCTTAATAAATGACATAGGGTTTTGGGGCTCCTTGAAAGGGGTCTATAAATGCTACTATAAAGGTTTAGGAAGTTTAGGGTATGGGGGCCCCTAATAATTAATTAGAATAGGGTTTATGATACTATAATTACAATAAGGAAACCCCCCAAAATAGTAGTGGGTAACTATTTAGGCTCCTATAGTAAACCCTAAAACCCTAAACCCCAAACCCTAAACGGTGCCCATTCGGCCTGCCGTCCGGCTCCGCTGGGGGAGCGAGACCCCGTGACATCTTCAGGGCGAAGTCAAGCGCGCACAGCGCTTGCAATCGCAGCGTCTGGGGTCTACTGATGTCTACATTCGGTCTGCGGAAGCTACAGTTGAGGCTTCAAGATTTAGGGCTTGGTGTGGCGGGAAAGAGCGTTCATAACTCGCAAGGAGTGCTTCAATGAATGAACACAGCATGTGCAACTGCCGAGCCAGAAAGTATCTGCGAGGGACAGCGACACATGCAGCGCCAACTTCCCGATTGCTTAGGGTTTAGGGCTCAGGGTTTAGGGTTTAGGGCTCAGGGTTTAGAGCAGAGGGTTGAGGGTTTAGGAGGTTTCCCCCACAATGCCCCCCAAGCGCCTCAAGCAGGTCTTGAGCAGAGGGTCGTGAGCTGGGCTCTTTCGTCAGCAGGCGCCTGTTTCGCACGTGCCGCATGGTTCTGACACCCTGAAGCCTAAACCCTGACACCTAAACCCCTCAACCCATCTACACCCTAAACCGCTCTATGGTTCTATGATTTTCGGCGAAAGGGCGGCAGAAGTTCCGCCAAGGTGCGCCAAAAACGTGCGTGCATTGGACGGAACGAGATCGAGATGCTTGGCGATGTCCTGGCAGAACGGAGCTGGGCTTGGGCGGTTTGAAGGGTTTGCTTCCAGTTTTGTAGGGCTCTGTTTGCATTTCATAGGTTCCTAGATGTTGAAAGGAGTTGTTATAGTGCGTGCTTTAGGCTGCAAAGGAGCTTTTATGTGGCCTGTATAGGGTTACATAGGTTTGCATAAAGGTTTTGGAAAAGCCTGCAACCCTCAAAACCCTAAACCCTAAACCCCAAAACCCTAAACCCTAAACTCTCCGAAACAAGGCGAAGCCTTAAGTTGAAAAGCCTGTGTCCTGCGAACTCACATCCTGGATCTCTCGGAGAATCACCTGCAAGGCTGGGGTTTTGGGTTTACGGTTTCGGGTTCAGGGTTTAGGGTTTCGGGTTCAGGGTTTAGGGTTTAGAGTTTAGGGTTTAGGGTTTGGGGTTTGGGGTTCAGGGTTCAGGGTTTAGCGTTCAGGGGTTTAGGGGTTTAGGGTTAAGGTTTAACGGAACCTGTCACCCTGAGCCCGAAACAGGGATTAGGGTAGCATTATCGTCGTCACTCGCCCCTTGTAAACTCCACCCCCTTCCAGCAAGTGCGATTCCTTGAAACCCGGTGCTTGACAGGTTATTTTCAGCAGCCGTGCTCAATTTATGACAATTGGGCTCACAATTTCGCCCAACTTGGGTTGCATAGCCAAGCAGCACGCATGGCCGAGCAGCACCTACCATAATTCAGCATGATATACCCTAAACCCTAAACCCTGAACCGGAATAGTGTACTATACTGTAATGAAATCAACCCTGTACCCCGACATGCCGCTTTGAAGAGGGTAGGGGGTCATGACTCCTAGTGGTTCGGGTTGACGGTGCCTCTTCCGTGTAGCCATCGCAGCCGCCCCTCTCTCGTTCAAACACGCAGACACCGCCTCGAGCTCATGCGAAAGCATGTCTGGGGTATAGGGCTTGGGGTTCAGGGTTTAGGGTTTAGGGTCTAGTATATTATGGTAGATTCTAGTAGGTTATAGCATACTATCCTACATTCTCGTTTTTTGGCGGGGTGTTATAGTCTGGTCAAGTATGTTATTGTACACTATAGAGTAATAGTATTTTGTAGTGTATTGTAGCACAATATAGTATACTATTCCATACCATAGTACATGTCAAAAAACTATAGCACATGATGCTGTTGCATATAGTAGTATCCCAACTAAGGTACATCATAGCCGAAGGTTTGGTATCGCATGGTGAAGTATATTATGTTGTCTTAGAAGCACTATAGTAACTTTCAGAAACCTATGGTATATGACACGATCGTACCGACCTGTATATGAACTTGAAGTATACCTTAATCGAAAACCCTAAACCCTAAACCCCTCAACCCTGAATCAACCCTAAACCCTAAACCCCAAACCCTAAACCCTAAACCCCTAAACCCCTAAACCCTAAACCCTTAAATCCTAA